TTTTCGAAGTCACCGGCGCCGCGGGCTGGTGGGCTCGGAAGCTGGTGGCGGCGCGGCTCCGGTCCGCAGCTTTGCGTGCTAGGCTTTTCTTTTCATTGGAGGGAAGCTGGTGCCCCAGTCTGGAGGACTTACCGGGTCCGCGGCCTTCAGCCCAGGCGGCCCTGGGGAGTCCTGGGGAGCAGGGAGGCGCGGGGGAGCTGGTGGGATGCTCACGAGCCCTGGGTCCCCCGAGAACAAACTTGGAAGGGAAAACTTTCCCCCACCCCGCAACAGCTTTTCGGCGCGGCCCCCAGGCCGGTTGTCGAGCGCCCCGCGCCCCTCTCCTGAAGCCCGGTCTGAATTCTCAGCGGGAGCTGGAAAGCCGGGTGGGAGCGGGTGGTGGTGGAGGTGGAGGTGGTGGTGGTGGAGGAGGAGGAGAAGGAAGGGTGAGAGCAGCATAGGCGCCCCACCTACTGCAGACCCCTCGGATGATCCTGCGCTGCCCTCCTCTTGGTCCTGGTCCCAGGCGATGGCAGGAGTTCTTAGGGTGGGAAAACTGACCCTCCCCCCGGGAGGGGGCTACCTCCTTCCACGGGAAGGGCGCCCCCAAAGGTAAACAAGCCTCTCCCCACTCCCTCCTCAGCGCGTGCCTGGGGGTCGCGCCTTCCCCGGGATGGGGCAATGGGGTTCTTGCCCTGCGGCACTCAGGACCCCTGTCCTGGGCCCAGCAGACGTGCTATTGTCGGCGGAGGTGAGCGGCGGCGACCGGCTGGACTGCGTGAAAGCCAGCGACCAGTGTCTAAAGGAACAGAGCTGCAGCACCAAGTACCGCACGCTGAGGCAGTGCGTGGCGGGCAAGGAGACCAACTTCAGCCTGGCGGCCGGCCTGGAGGCCAAGGACGAGTGCCGCAGCGCCATGGAGGCCCTCAAGCAGAAGTCCCTCTACAACTGCCGCTGCAAGCGGGGCATGAAGAAGGAGAAGAACTGCCTACGCATCTACTGGAGCATGTACCAGAGCCTGCAGGGTACGCGCCCCGCCCCCTCCCCTGGGCCCTCGGCTGAGGCAGGCGGCCCCTGGGCCCCTCAGGCCAGCTGACCTCATGGTCCATCCCCTTCTCCCCATCTGCAGAAAAAGGACCTCTCATAGGTCCCGGGGGACAGGACAGCTGGTGTTTGCTGCAGCCTAGGCAGCATTGGTGTGGCCTGGTTGTTGGGAAAGCCATGAGGGGGTGGGGGCACCCTGGGGACCCTCCCATCTCCCAACCTCTGAAACCCAGCCCTAGCATCAGTGTGGGGTCCCATTAAAGTCCTTGCAAGAAACCCAAAACTTATCTCCAGGGGCCTCCCGCCTGAGGCTTGGGTTAACTTTAAAGAGTGCCTCTTGTCTCTTCTGCCCACTCGCTTTTTCTGGCCTCAGATGAAGGATGGAGTGTAAAAGGTCCAGTAAATAATTTCTGTCCTCACCCCCTACAACCAGATCTAAGGCTGACATGTGAAAAGCCACTTGTCATCTTAGTTGAGCAGGGACTGGAACGAGCTGGTGTGGAGCAACCTTGGTGAACACAGTAGTTGTTCAGGGCCAGACCCAGATGTCTCAAGCATCTGTTTCAATGGGCAGCTCTGCTTCTCACCTGCTGGAGGTGGCTTGTGTTTGTCTGACATAAACATCCCGGGCACGCAGTCTCTTCCGAGGCTCACGTGCCAAATCTGTAATATAGAGATTTGACTTCCTAGCTGTCGCTTGCTCCATAACCTATGAATGAGCATATCTGAGACAACTGCTTTCACTCCGTGTCTGAGAGTAAACAGGGTCACCTTCCTTCCATTGGCTCCTCTAACCAAGCAAGGGTTGTGACGTCACTGGCTCCTTCCTCTCTGCTTTCATTCCTTGGCAAAGAGAGGGAGAGTTTTCTGGCAAGATGGGGCTGAGTGGCTCTCCAGTGTTTTCATGGCACTCTGGGGATGGCCGTGACAGCACAGAGGGAACCCAAACGAACAACCAAAGCCCAGCAAACAGATGCATCTGAAACCCTTGAAACCCTTGAATGCGTCAGCATCTTTCTTTGTGACCCAACCCCGCCATCATTACTCACATTCAGATCCCGTAGGGAGAAACATTTGCCCCCAAGTAGATCTGTGTTCCAAATCAGATCCCCATCTTCTTGGTGTTTTTAGGCAATGACCTGCTGGAAGATTCCCCCTATGAGCCCGTTAACAGCAGATTGTCGGACATATTCCGGGTGGTTCCATTCATACCAGGTAAGCAGATCTTGACTTCTACTCTTTGCCTGCTTGAAATTCCTTGGCTTGCTTCCCCCTTGGCTCTCACAGAGTGTGTAAGTAGATAGTTGAATGAATGGTGCAGTGTTTCTGGGAAATTAGCAATAGGGGGATGATAATGAAGCGGCAGAATGCCTAGAAGATGATTGTATGGCTCGAACGTAATTCTAAATGAAGTAATGTGGTGCGGTGGTTTAAAGGAGTTGGAGGATATTTTTTTCCCCATCACATTAAAATATGATTGGCCGACTGTTGCAAATGGAGTGCCACTTCTGTCTGTAGGTGGCAATCGTATCCCCTTCTTCTTGCATGCCAGGCACCGGCTTCCCTGGAAATGGGATCTGACCAAATGTTGCCTCTTACTGTACAAGATGTGTGAAGAGAATCTTAGCTCGCTCAGGATTTTCATGCAGACTCACTTAACTGCCTTTGATGGAAAAGGCTAAGAGTGCCCACTTGCTACAAAGTCCTTGGTTTCGAATTTTTCTTGAGCAAGTCTGTGTGGGGCTGTGAGAGAATGCACCCCTCTCCCAATGGCCCTTGGGTTTCGTCTCTGCAGTTCTGGATTTGGTTTGGAAGGGTACTTCGTTTCGGAATTATGCTTTCATACCTTCTACATGTAGACAGCCACAGAAATAATGAGCAAGGCAGTCATTTCTCTGAATGATAGGCAAATTCCTGACTGATGCTGTCTTTATTTGTTTACAGTTGAGCCATTTTCCCAAGAGATATGGCCAACTCAAATTACATATATATATATTGACACACACATATATGTCTGTGTGTATATTTATATACACACCTCTGTGGTTCAACATGGTGGTTGATGTTGGATTTGATTCTGTGCAATGATGACATACTACTGGTGATAATGTTCTAAATGGTTTATGCTTTACTGCAGAAAAACCACAGACCAAGGGAGGGGAATATGAACCCTGACATTGTATATGGTCGTATTATATATTCATGTGTGCACTCACAAAACCTCCATTGAGCAACTACTATGTTGTCAACATTGAGGGTTGTGGCAATGAGCCAGAGAGATACCATCTTTGCCCTTGTGAATTGTAGCGGCAGCCAGAAACGGACAATTATCCAACCTTTATTTATATGCCAAGCACTGCAAAAGCGTCACATCATTAACTGATTTAACCGTCATCAAGGGCTTGGCAGGTGTTACTGTTTCCATTCTACAGGTGAGAATATTGAGTCATAGTGAAGTTAGGAACCCACCCAAGATCCCAAGCGTGTGCTTTGTGACTTGCTCCGGATTTGTTCGATGCTGAGCCTGCGTTCATAGCTTCCACCTCTCGTTACTTGCTATTGAGAGTGTGGTCCTCCGACCAGCAGCATTGGCATCACCGGGGAACTAGTTAAAGGTGCAGAGTCTCAGACACCACCCAGACCTATGAATCAGTACCTGCATTTTAACAAGCTCCCTGTGTTTCCCATGCACAGGAAGCTTGAGAAACACTGATGTACATTATTCTTTCCATCCAGTAGAAGACGGTGTGTGTGTGTGTGTGTGTGTGTGTGTGTGTGTGTGTCAGGGAGCAAAACAGTTGGGTCCACATCTCATATCAGCAACATTCATATGTAATCCTGGAATAATGCTGACAATGTCCACTCCAAATCCCACCGAGTCTCTCTGACCCACTTGGCCCAGCCAGGACAGTGACTCAAGCAGTGGAGAGCCAACACATAGACAGGTGTGCATAACCATCCGAGCAGTGGGAAGGCAATGGGTTGCAGTGGTGTAGGCATACCAGAGATGAAGCTGGTCTTCAGTGTGGGCCTGTGCTTCTTATCAGCTGCTGCTGGCCCAGAGAAGCATGACTATGTCAGTGCCTGCCAGAGGATGGCCATCCTTATGTGAGGAGGTGGGTCGGGACGAAGGGCCATTGGGTGTTCGTGGTGGAGCTCCTATAAAAGCTCTAACTTATTCTTTTGCCTTCTGTGGGTTCCTCTCTTCTCATTGGTGGAATGGTATAATCTCCAGTCCGGGGCAGTCCATGATTGTGGGGGCAAGAGTGTAGCCACCTCCTCCCTGCCTGCATCATCTTTTCAAGCCTTGCCTGCGTTTCTCCACTTGAAGTGGCGGAGCATACCATTGGTTCATCTGATTTTCTCTTATGAGCATTCCACATTCTTCCACATGGACCCAGCCATTGGTGCTTGTTTTTGATCCATCCCTCAGGGGGGAGGGGGTCTTTCTACAGCAAATGGGATCTTGAGTTTGAAGGCCCTGTCCTGCTGAGAATGCAGTGATCATAATGAAATTACCTAGAGGCAGGGCAGCCTTGTTCAGGGCTCCCTTTCATATCTCAAGGGCATCGAATTTAGGTTCCTGCACTAATGAGCTTTGACCTCTTGACCGTGACTGTTTCTTAAGTGGGTGTAGTAAAGCCAAATGGAGCCCTGAGAGGTTTTAAGTTGTTGAATAATGCATATTACCCAGTTTGGCACTTGTCGGATGGGGAGGAACAGAGGCACAGGATGATAAATGTTGCCTTTCATGGTTGCACTCTGAGTTTCTAGAACATTTCTTTCCATCTTGAAAATCGCCTCAAAGAACCAGGGCAAGCTCTCTGCCTTGTCTAGATATGGCAGCCATCTGAGTTTCCATATTTGGATTTTCCTGCCCCATCGGAAGAGACTGTTTCCCTCCTTACATTCAGCGTGGGCTGAAACCCCTCAAAGAGTTAGACATCCTTGTGTTTCTATTTTCGTTGGACTCTTTCATCCTACCGCCATCTTTGCCTTTGTTTCCTTGCTAGCCAGCTAAAAAGTCACCGGGAGGTATTGCTGTTGGTGGCCTGGTGGCCGTACAGAAGGGAGCAAAAGGAGGTAGAACCTAGAATCCGTTACCTGTGTTCTGAAGCCTGACCTGTAGGAGAGAAGGGAGCAGCTCTGTTCCCAGACAAGAATTGCAGTGGGAGGGATGTCTCTCGGGGGCCCCAGAGGCACTTGTAAATGCCTAGAGGACGTCTGTTTCCTGATTTGGTGTGGTTTTTAGGGGTCTTAAACATGAAGAGTCAAGAGAGTGAGAGTGGGGGAGTAGGCAAAGGAAAAAGCAAGGCAGTTGTGGGAAATGTTGGAGTAGAAAAGACAACACAGCCAAGTGTCTTGGGGACCAAGAAGGGCGGACCAGTGCAAGGCCTCGAAGGCCCCCGGAGACGGAGAGCATGATGTAGCGCATCCTATCCGCTTCTCCACAGCTGCTCTTTCACCTTCTTCCTGCCATTCCTTTTCTTCCTCACGAATGTTCACGAGGCAGCAAAAAGAAAACATTTATTTAAACATGGGCTTTGTTGTTTGGGTGGGCCGCTCTCTGAACAAACAAGCTGGCGGTGAGCTGTCTTTGACAGAATCCAAGGCTGGAGGATCAGAAAACAGTGATATAGGTGCCCCTGTGGGAAAAAGAGACAAGGAGTTTTGAGGTTTAAAATACTGATTGGGAGTTGGGATGTTGTAGAGGAGGGTGCAGGGGTGCCAGGCCTTCCAATAATGTAATCAGAGTTGACGGTATCACAAGCAAGAGTCAAATGGCTGGCTCGTGGGGAAAGAACCCTGTCTTCTGAAGCTGATGCGGTGAAGGCCAAAGTCCCAGCTCTTTGGCTCGGACATCTTTTCCTAACCGAGTGCTGTAGTTGGTGTCATCTGATCAGGCAATTCCCATGGAGAGAACCCTGGGGCGTCCAGTAGAGCCCAGCGGAGTCAAACCGCTCCCTGGGGTTCTCTCTATGGATGCAGACGGCCCACAGGACTGCTGGATGGCTTTGAATGGCCAGCCTTTCAGGTAGACCTAAACGAAAACCAAGCGCACTGCGCAGGAGTCAGTGTCGAGGTGCAGTGACCCCATCGGGCAGAGTAGAAGGGCCTCATCACTTCTCAAGACTGTATCTGCTGACAGGAGTCGAGAGCCCCATCTTCCTCCTGAGGAGCTGCCTGGTGGTTTCCAGCTGCTGACCTTGAGGGTCTCCTCCCAGTGAGTCACCACGACACCACCAGGGCCCCAGTCCGGGTTCATCTAGAAGTGGGGTAAACCTTCCCCAGGAAGCCTTTGGACCTGGAAATGGAGGGTTTACCCCAGGATGAGATGTCCTCATACCCTGTTGTCTTCTTTTTCTGAATGATGCAGTGGCTAATTAGTCACATTTAGCATTTCCATTTTATTGTACCATCATCTGTATGTAACTGTCTTTAAAAAAAGTAGTTCTTGAAAAGTTTTTCATGTTGGAGAAAAGCCTTATAATGTCACCTGCCATGTTCTCCAATCATGTTGAGAAATGAAGCTTCTAAGGGTGTGTTTTGGTTCATTCCTTTCTACTGAACCCTCAAAAGCAGAAGCGGGACTCTGTTGTTCCCATATGTGATAACACTGGTTGGTCCCCTACTACTCAATGCTGGGATATGGTAAAAGCTAGAAGCTTGGTCGCATCCCTTTCCAGCTTGGGCCTGTCTTCCTCCTCCAAGCGCCATCCTGCCTCTCTTTGCTCAAGTTCCCTGGCCTCAACCACTCCCCAAGGGTTTCATACGCTTTCCCCTTGCATATGGTCTTGCCTCTGCTTGGGACATATTCCTGCTCCAAGACCAAGATCAAATTTCATCTCCAAGGCCCTTGCTGGAATTCCCCCAGACCAGCACTTCCAACTCAGGACTTCTTCACTCTGCGTTTTGCCCTTGCCTTGATGAGCACTGGTAATCCCAGAGGATCAGAAGGACTTACTTAAGTGTCTGCCGTTCCCACTGGAACACCAGTGACTCGTATGGTGTGCTGGGTAATGCTTAGCACTGATGGTCCTTTCTGATTGTGAGCTAGTATAGCATCCATGATGGTTGGTTGAATGAGTTGAAGGGGCCTTGGGATCTAGTCCAACACTTTGCTTTCACAGAACTGAAGGTCAGAGACGTGATTTGGCCAGGGACACAGCAGGTATGAAAGCCCCTGTAAGACCTTTTCTAGAACATGACTCTCT